TTCGTCTAATGTTTCATTGAATATTACCTTACATTAGACTAATAATATTTTTTTAAATCTTAATTACTTCTACTTCTTTATTAAATGAGATCAGTAACTCATATGATGTACCTAAGCCTCAGGACAATTATGTGGACTGAAAGAATTCACTTAATTGGTTTGTTACATCAATTTTTGCTTTAGATATTCGTTATATAAAGTTTTTTGGTAGTGCTTGTAAAAATCTTACCAAACTCTAGCCAGTGTAGATACAAGGTTAACATCCCTAAGAGTTTAAAATTTATATTTAAAGTTTAGAAAAGTAAATATTAATTAAGCTTTTTTATAAATTTTTAATGGTAAGATCAGTCTATAACCAGCAGATAAGTCTATTCCTCAATGAACGGGAATATGTGTATAAGTTGTTGGAATATTGACACAAATGCAATGTTTAATTAATTAAAAATAAATGTGCTTATATAAGCAATTATTTATATAATATAAATTATATAATTATTATAAGCAAATTTCAATTCAAAATTGAAATATGTTGGTTTTTGTAAGGATTTCTCAAGACCTATCATTCATAGAACAATCACTATTAATCCGCATATATTAGTGATATTTAACGATTGTTCCATACTCAAGACAAACGGATTTTAATAAAAATTAAATAAAAATATTCTTTTTGAAATGTCCACTTCGAAAAAGATACCTTAAGATGAAATTTATAGCAATAATCTTTTTATAAACATTTCGAAAGAATTAAAATAAACAAATTATTTGCGTTTTTATTTATGTCTGCCTTTGATAGAATCGGGCAATGTAATTCGAGAAATTTTGTTGACTTTATCTGTTGGAGATTTGTATATACAATTTTTGATAAATATGTTTTTTAAAGCTTCTCATGTGCATTTCTTAGAAATCAATATAAAATTAATGAAAATAATTCATATCTGCAAAAAAGCATAGAAGTGATTTTTGATTGAAATGGGTAATGTGTTACTTTAAAACTGCTGTATAATAATATATTATAGATTCTATAGATAGATATAAATTCGACTTATGTTTGTATATGTTAGACTCTTTATGGTGTTTACTTAGTTTATTTCCCAGTATAGATACGCCAAAGAGTTCTGTTTTTATGTGGTATAAATGGAACCAATGTATGGAATTAAGTACTCGTCTGTTCGTTCCCTCTGACAGTTATGTACCAATTCAGTTTATGACTTAGCAATAATACTTTTAGCTATTTATTTTTTTAACATTACTTTTTTTTTATTATTTATGATAAGATAAACATTGTGCGCTGGGATATTAGCATATAAACCATTATGATTTTGGCATGTTATGGAAACAAATAAATTACAATTTGTGGGCTAGCGACATATCTATCAACACATGGAATGTTTATATTTCATATATTTAGTTTATAGGGTTTCAAATCAAGTGTTTTTATCGCTGAAATTCGACAATTTCATTTAATTATAAAATATGACAAAATTCGTTTTGATTTTATGATTAACCATAAATGATTGATTTTTAGGGCACACAATAAAATTTAATTCGAATTGAAATAATATATTCTAATAACAAAATTACCAAACATAATTATAAAATAATAATACGGAAAAAAAATATTTATATACATTATGGAAATGTGTTAAATAATTATATATAATAGTATTATATATAATAGTATTATATATAATAGTATTATATATAATAGTATTATATATAATAGTATATTTTGCACTGAATGCCTGCACACACAGTGGTTTTGCAGGAATGAAGTAGCAGACGTATTTTCTAAAGAAACTAGCTACAGCAGCAACTACATGGAGCGGAGCTAATTCTGGACTCCAGCCCAAATCGTTTCAAAACCCTAGCTAAAATAAACTATATCAGCACAGTGGACTATTGACGTTATTGACGTTATATATCACTGTCACTGGTTACTATCTTTAAAAAGGGATGAAGTGTAGTTAAAATTATCGAGTATAAAGAACCTACGATTTGGAAAGAAACTTACCGAGCTAATAGCAGCAGCTATTAACAGAAAATTCACAAAAGGAGTTAAGACTATACTTTTATAACCAAGATTGGTAGGTTGGGTAAAGCCGTGATTTAAATGTATTGAGTGATTGGGTTTAGTCTTATCGGTGGCAGAGCGACAGAGCATTCTACACTGTTGGTACAGGTGAACGTCTACACTTGACATGTCCGCCAGATCTATTAGATTCTCATAGTGGAATATCTCAATCTTGCAGGTATTTGTAAAGGAAACATTCCTACCTTTCCATGTAGCACCTTGAAATCTGTTTGAAGGTTTTAATTTTGAAATTTATTCGTTAAAATTCTTTTTCGAGTTGTATTTTATATTACAACATATAATTTTACAATTAAACACTTATATTATTTCTATATATAATAACATATTTTTATTATTATTCCCATATTGTTAATTTATATTTAAACAAATTATGAATATATCTATTTTTTTATTATATTAAATTTAAAAAATCTCTTTCGTATAATTTATTTAAATTCAAGTTTTTTAGTCTTAGAACTCGTTCCTTTTGCACTTAATGAATTCATTTAAAATATGTCCATAAAATATCTAATTTATTAATGGAAGCTATTACATGTAACGTCTTTATTATTAACAAAATCTATTCTTGTACATAATATTAATAATATTATAGATTTGGTGAGCTTTAATTCATTTACCATTTAACCTTTGCATGTTTGAAGAATTGAAGATGTTATTTATGAAGATAAATGAATTACTTGCAAAAAGATTGAAACGTAATGAAAAAAAAAAATAAATAAATGTAAAAATTAAAACAGTAAGTAATAGTAAATATTCACTTCATATTTAAATTTTAATTATAATTTTTTTTCGAAAATAAAAGATCAATTGTATTTATTAAGATTTTTGCAGTATTTATTGTATATATTTTATATAATGTTATAATAATATATATTAATATTATTATTAAATTATTATAATAATATATATTA